TGGTTTCCCCCGCATCCGGCGCATTGGTAGTTGGCTTTGCAACCCCGCTGGTCCTGTTGCTCACGTTCTGACCAGAGCCTGTGGACTTCTTCTTCCTCGCTGTCTGAGGATGACTCGACGTCTTCGTGATGGGTGGTTGATGTGTACTTGTCTGAAGGTTTCCCAGCATCGTTGGTGGGTTGGCGGTTGGTCCCACTGGTTCGACGCATTTGTGCTGCCGATTTACGAGTGGCTTCGGCTGCTGTGGCATCTGCTATGGCATCTGCAAGCAAGATGTCTCCCTTGGCCATGATCTTGCTCTGGACAGTTGGGTCTCTGAGGCCAAGGATGATGCGATCTCTCATGGCTTCTTCGAGGTTGGCGAAGCCACACAACCCACCCAGGTTCCTCAGGTCTGCCACAAAATCCCCAACGCTCTCACCTTCATGTTGGTCCCTCTGGTAGAACTCATGCCTGCGAATGAGAGTTGGCACGGCTGGGGCGTAATGGTTGCGCAGGATGGGAGCAAGGGTGTCCCAATCCATGGTTTTAACTTCAGCTGGCTTGGCTAAGGCTTTAGCCATCTTAAAAATGGCTGGTCCACAATGGGTTAGAAAAACAGCTCGTTTCTTGCTGGGCGTGGCATCTTTGAGGTTGTTGGACTCCAGGAACATTTGAAATCTGTCCATGAATGAGTCCCAATCTTCGCTAGCTGGATCGAATGGTGCGAGTGGTATAGCGCTGCTGGCCATGTCGCCGTCATTGCGCTCTGTCAGCCACGTGCTCCTTCGGCTAGCTCAGTTCAAAAGCTTCTGTTGCCTCCGCATCCCATCCTCGTCGCCAGTGTTATATCTGGGAGGACGGTTCAAGAATGGAGGCAAGACTCAGATAGCAACTAAAGCTCTTTATTTGTGACTTCAGATCTGAGCAACTAACCCCAGCCGCAGCAGCCCCTTATATAGGGCTGGCTGCGGCTAGGCAGCCAATGAAGGCGATTTGAGTTTGCCGCTCTTGGCAGGGCCAATCGCGGCAGCCCGTTTACTGGCCAATCGCATCAGTTTATGGCGACCAATCACGATCGGCTTTCAGCGGGCCAATCAGATTTGCAGGCTACGAGCCTGCTAGTCCAGAACACGTTCTAACCCTGCTATTCTATGATTCTGTAAGGATCGCCTGCTGGAGAAGGGGGTTGGACTAGATGACCTCCAAGATCCCTTCCAGCCCTAGATTGTTGTGCTGTTTCAAAGCGTCTTCTGAAGCCATGTCTAGTGCTAGGGTTTGTGGTCCTTCCTTCCTTTCCTTTTTTTTCTCTCCATCTGTCCGTTCCTTCCTCCCTCCCTCCTTCCTTTCTTTCTTTCTTTCTTTCTTTCTTTCTTTCTTTCTTTCTTTCTTTCTTTCTTTCTTTCTTTCTTTCTTTCTCTTTCTTTCTTTCCTCTCCCTTCTCTCTCTCTTTCTCTCTCTCTTTCTTTTCTTTTTTCTCTCTCTCTCACTCTCTTTTTCTTTCCCTTCCCTTCCTCCTTCCCTCTCTCCTTCAAAGGCTATGAGAGTGAGACCCACCTAAAACAAAAAATCCTTTGGATGAAACCGCCATTGCCATCCAGCTTATTCAACCCAATGCATGTGTGTGCGCACATACGCGCGCGTACACGCACACACACACACACACCATTTAAGCAAATTCCCTTGTTTTGGAGACTTTAGAATCAGAAGGTAACTTGGAGGTCTTATAGTTCAACTTTCTGCTCAAGGCACAAAACCACATACATACGCAAGTTTGCAGACATCCCGGGATTCCCAGCTTTGGCTGCAAGAACTGCAGGCAGCATTCCAGTGGTGGGATTCAAAAAAATTTACTACCGGTTCTGTGGGCGTGGCTTGGTGGGCGTGGTGTGGCTTGGTGGGTGTGGTGTGTGGCTTCGTGGGCATGGCAGGGGAAGGTTACTGCAAAATCCCATTCTTTCCCACCCCGCTAACCTGCTTTCCAGCTCCCTTCTCCTGTGCAGGGCAACGAAAGAAGACCCAGCTGATCAGCTGGGACTCAGGAGGAAGAGAATAGATGGGGGCAGAGCCAGTCAGAGGTGGTATTTGCCAGTTCTCCAAACTACTCAAAATTTCCACTACCGGTTCTCCAGAACTGGTCAGAACCTGTTGAATACCACCTCTGCAGCATTCCCCACCACATACTTCCTCCTCCCACCACCCCATGCAAGGCAGGAGGCCCAAGAGAAAGCACCTGGCCCAGACACGCAGCCCTCCATGATGGAGCCCTTCCCAGGGAGCAAAACAAGGACTTACTGATCCATCCCGAAGGTGAGGTCCAGAGTGGCAGTGGCGGTGCTCCAGGAGGGCAGCCCTCAGGGCCCTGGGAAAGCATCTTGTGCAGCACAGCAAAATTTACTTTAGCAACCGGGAGTTGCTGCTTTGGGTCCTGCAAGTCCCACTCCTATTAGGAAAGGGTTGCAGGCAGCAGAGAGAAACAGGATTCAACCTGGCTGCTTCTCTCTGCCACCAGTAGCCCTTTCCCAATGGGAGTGGGACTTGCAGGACTCAAAGCTAAATTTCACTGTGCTGCACAAGATGCTTTGCTTTCCCAGCAGTGAAAACAGGTCACCAGAGAACACGTGGAGCAGCTCCATGTGCTCTCCAGGTCAGCGGCTACTTGTCTGTGCTGCAGCGCTCTACGGATGGGACAGTAAGGTAAGAACAGTACCTCAGACAGCGGGAAGGCCGTGGGGAAGGCAGGGAAGCCAGCTGGGCTTGGGGACAGTGGGGAAGGCAGCGGGGAAGGCAGGCAAGTGCACTGGGCCTCAGGGACCCTGGGGTAACATAGGAGGCAGCTAGGCCAGGATTCAGGCCTTGCTGCTAGCAATCAATCACCCAGGCAGATAAGGGCAGCTTAGGTGGGGTGCATGGAGAGCGTCTCTGGCCCACAGAGACCATGTGGTGGAGGCAAGCCAGGGATCCAGACGGAGAGCAGCAGCACCTATGCAGGGTGAGCGGACGAGATGAGGAGTAACTGGGTGGGGCGGGGCCAGCCAGAATTTTTACCACCAGTTTACCTGAACTGCTGAATCCCACCACTGGATAGAGGTGTTTTATATAGGCGCTGTAAGAAAGCTTATTTAGAATGCAGAATATTTCATTATCACAATTGACTTAAATTGCATTCATGTTATTTTTACCACAGATGACACTAGACAACTTCTTGGAACCAGGCTATGGCAAACTAGCTGCAAAAAGAAAATGTGGAGATGTTATTGTCTATGTAGCCATTAGAAACTGAGTTCAAAGGATACTTCATTGCTTTATATGATTTTTTTAAAAAAACAGTATTGGTCTATATCTAGATTACTATTAAAAAGAGAATATTTTACCCTTGCAAACTGAATAAAAATTAGTAAGCACTGAAAGGATAGTCTAGGTAAGAAGGTGCTATAACACCTTTGTGAGAGGTCCATCAACTCCCAAATTAATACATTATTATTAAATGGCTGAACTATCACTGAAATATCACAGTTTGTATTACATGGGATTGTTCAATTTTTTGCATTAAATTATCAATACCTATATATCACATCTATACAAAAGGGAAGAGAGTATGTACAGACTAGAAAATAAAAACCAAACAATATCAGGTTATGGGTGCCTGTCAAAAGTTAGCACTGGTAATAATCTCTGTATTATTTTATTATTTTATTTTTATTACCTTATTTTTTATTTTTAACTATGAGTATATGTACACAGGTTGTACATTAATAAAGATATTTGCATTCAAATAAATATATGAAGAATCCAAATATTGAGTTCAAATTCCGATTTGGTTTCTGGATATGCTGTACATAAGAAGATGGTTTCCATTTGAACTATAAAATTACGAAAAGAAAAGATTGTCTCTGAGCTGTTGTTTTTACAAGAGCAGTAGGGAAGTTGTATAAATTAATGGATGCAATATTAAATTCATTTCTAGTTCTAGATATGTCCTGCTTTTCTTTCATTCCAGAGATAATTGATAGCTCATTATAATGCTATCTTTGGCAGACTGTGCCAAAGAGTCTGGCAGAACAAAGAAGAGATACGTTGCTCAAATTTGGAACTTTAACACAAGTTGTAAAATTTAATTTCAGTTACTAGACTTTGCTTTTAAGTGTACATTTTTCTCAATTTTGCTAACTTCTTACCTTCATGAAAATTCATTTTGGGTGTGTGTGTGAAAGAATAGCTCTACTGGGTTAAAAAAAATATGTAACCCTAATGAAGGTTTCGATGTTTGCAACCCAGACTTGCAGAATATGCTTACCTTTTACAGATAATTGTTTGCAGCCTATTGTATACAGTCTTAAATTTGAATTAAAACTCTAATGGGCAAAAGAATAAAATACAATGAACTTATTTCACATAAGAACCACCAAGCTTCATGATGTTTTCTTGAGCTTTACAAAAAAACCTGTCTGCGACTTATCTTTTGGAGTACAGACCTAGTCTTCCCCAGCTACCCTGATGAAGATTAAGAAGCTGTTACAAATAAATTTAAAACTGAATGGTATGGAGTAAAAAATAGTGACAGATAGGAATCTCATGAAGTATATTACTTTGTTTCTTTAATCTTTAGCAAAGAATAAATAAATTAATAGAGAGGATAAGAGATGAAAGTGTCATATTTCAGGTGACAACTTACAACCTTTTTAATCACAAAATGCCTGTTATCACCTGATAAGTACAATAGGCATAGGCATGTGTAGTGCTTGTCAGACGTTATTATAATGTACAGTGTGAACTAGTAGAGTTATGTATGCATTTCTCTGTGGGATCAAGGTTTCTACTCCAATCCAGCTGAAATTAGTCTTACTTCCATTGAAATGTAGGGTTTTAGTTAGACTGTTTGATATCATGCTTAAGTAATATGGAACAGAGCATTGGTTTTCTGAGTGCTGTAGTGGATAATTACCATACAGCCTCAGATTGTGTGTGTCAATAAGACAATTTCTCATTTTCTCTCTCCACCCACAATGTTTCCACAATAGGACATCGTCAGAAACTAGATGAGCAGACAAAGACTGGAAGTTTGTCCTTTTCAGAGCGCCTGAGTGAACTGGAACAGTTGCGTCGCACAGCTATAAGGGTTAGCCCACATCATCCAGCCCCGGCACCTAACCCAAGAGCTTCCTTGAACCACACAGCTGCTTTTAATCCTCAGCCTCAGAGTCAGATTCAGGGTAAGCATCTGGATTTTTCCCCCACTCCATTCCTATCATGTAAAAGGTTGCTTGTTGCCTGTTGAAGTCATTTTACACAATTGGTTATATAGGATGACTTTTCAGAATGATTATCCTTTCTGTTGGTTTTATATGGTACACATATGTTGATCATAAGGACACATATTAATAGGCTAGAGCTGACCAAAGATATATTTAGTTCCATAAGTCTGTAAAAGAAAAAGTATTGTACAGAAGCTGATTTATCAACAGTTTGGATCTTATATTAACATTACAGTAACATTTACCAAAACAGTCAGTTAAATCAGAAATTAAGAAATGTCAGTGAGATGGATACAGAATGTCCAGGATGTTTAAAAGGCAAAGCAAGTCTGCTGTTGCTACTGCTGCTTCCTCCTACAACTCCTGCTGCACAAAAAGATTACTTCTTTAGATTTGTCATCCCTGGGACCAAAATATTATTAAGAGCTACTCCCACCACCACCATTTCTAAATTTCTGTATTATCCTGAAGGACATCCCATTTTATTGCTATCTTACATCGTCGTAAAACTTACACAAAGTAATGTGTAAGTGGGGGACGACAGGCTACTGCTTTTGCTAGAGAAAAGTCCTTTCAGTCTTAAGGAGCATCAAGTAGGGAAAACACTGATTTTATCAAGTCTTATCACTTTCCAAATTCCAATTCCAATCACCGGTTCCAAATTCTCTTTAGAAGGCTGTTTCACTTTAGAAACATCAGGAGTGACCAAATATTTGTTTCAGGCATTTGTATATAAAAGGAAGTAAAAAATTTTTACTTTTAATATAGTAGCTCAATAGTGTTATTTTTAATTCAATATTTTAAGAATTATTTTTATAAAAACAAGATTATCAGATTTTTAAATAAAAAGGTTAGTGTTCATATCATACATTGCATTGTGTTAAGAGTAGTCAGTAACAGAAAAAAATGATATTCACATGTTGTTTTACGTATATTTTACCATGAACCCATTCTCTCATGGTCACCCTCACGATTCAATAGTGAATTATTTTAGATCAGGGTTGTGGATTTTTATCTTCCCATGTACAAATAATGGAGGCAACAGTCTCCATAGATTTGCATTGAGGGGAAGTTCGCAGAGACTGTGAAATATATGTCTTGAGTGTTTCTCTAAACTTCAGGAGAGGTCTTTAGAGCATAATTTGTTTGTAAACGGGGATTCATCTGAGGATTCACATCTAAACTTCCTCACTGCTATTCTCTTTGGTTTGCAACCTGCTTTATTTCAGAATGCTTCAGAAAAACTGTGAATTCCTTCAAAGCATTTTTTGTTTGTTTTGAAAGAGTTCATCCTTAACGGATACATGCGGGAGTGGGATTCAAAAATCCCAACAACCGCTTCTCTGCCTGATTGCTGGGTGGGCGTGCCCTACCAGAACTTCTGGGAGGGCCATTTTTCACCTTTTCCAGAGTCTGGAGGCTTCCCTTGGGCCTCTGGGAGGGTGAAAACAGCTTCCCCTAGGCTTCGGAGGCCTTCCGGAAGTCAGAAACAGGCCTGTTTCTGGACTTCTAGAATTTCTGGGAGGGCCGTTTTTCACCCTTGCAGAGCCTCCGCACAGACCCTGCCCTTACCTACATCCAAAACGGGCTGCATGGAGACTCCTGGAAGGGGAGAGGCAGGGTGGGCAGGGCCAGGTGGTCGGTTCAACTACCGGTTCAGTGAATCAGATGTAAATCTGATATCCAGTTCGCCTGGACTGGCCCAAATTGGCTGAATCCCATTCCTGGATACATGCCAATGAATATTTTATTTTTGTTCAGTTAGAATATATATTTAAGGGTATTCCATTTTTTTTTGTAAAAAGTTTTTTCTTTTTTCACATTTCAAAAATATCTTTTTTAGTGAACAGCATGATTCCAGGTTTTCACATTTCCATACAAACATGACCTTGGTTACATATTCATCTTTGACATTTGATTTCATATCATATCGTTCCATTACATATTTTCTATAAATTTTCTCAAATATTTTTCTCAAACTTATTTTATATATTTTCTATTCATTTCTGAACTTATTTCTTTTTACTTTAAATAATTCTCATATCTTCATATTCATTATACTTTATATTTTTATCTGTCACATTTGCAATTTCATCGCATAATCTTATTTCATTATTCCAAAAATTCCATCCTAATTGAAATCATTCAAAAAATTTCCCCTGTAATTACTAACTTGAATGTACCATCCCTATATCTTATACATCATTTAAATAACTCCTCTTTAATTCCTCATAATAATTTATCACTTTTTAATTATCACCTTAAAAATTCATAACAATAATCTCCTAACAACTACGTAACATGTATGGATTTTAGGCCAGATTCCGCATGGTATTTTCCCATTCAGTTACATTAAATCATTTATAATTTCAAATAAATTAATCTATTCAATTGATCATAAAAACTGGTGTTAATCTTTTTATAGCAATCCTTGTAATTCATTTTAGCTTTATTCTTGAATTTATTAAACTTAGTTAATATACTTATCATAGTTTCTTTTTTTCACATTTATTCCATTTATCTCTGTGTATAATTTAACAAAAAAACAAGTATTCTAATAACAAGAAAACATCAGTTGCAATCTTTTCATTTTAAAAATCTATATTTTCCTATCTTCTAAGTAATTTATTACTTCAAATACAGAAATAAATTTGAACTTATAAAGAACAGATCATTTGCACTTACTGCACACAAAAATTCAAAACATTTGAGTTCGCTTCAAAAGAATATACATTTTTTGGCTATTAAGTGTGTTTCTGGATTGCAAATTGATTTGTTTGCAGTAATATGCAAGCATAATATGTAAAGGTAATAAGCAGTAAAAGCAAAAATGTTTGATCAAAGAACCTGTGGTGCTCCAGTTGTTGCTAACTACCATTCTTATCAATCTTATTCAGCATAGTGAATGATGAGGGATACTTGGAATTATAGTTCAAAATATAAGGAGGACCAGATTTTTTTTTACTGTTGATCTAAACAATCACTTTGTTGCTGTACTATGGCATCAGCTTAATTTCAGTTGTATTTATCTGACAGTTAAGATCCACTGATGTTATTGAAATTTACTTCTCTATAGAATAATATGACGAAAATCTGCAATGCTTTAATAGCAAAACTCATTTTCTAGCTTATATTTTATGTTCTATATCTAACAATATATTCATATATTATCTAGATATTATCTTTGCAATTGCAATTTTCTCTGGAGCTATAGTAATATGTAAAAATTAAAATGTTCATGCCCCGAATAGCAAGTGTAAATAGATGAACGAATACGTTAAATAGACTAATATCTAATTTGTAGTCTGCAGTTATTAAATATGATTAACAATATGATTAACAATAATTAATAATTAAATTAATAATTAAATGTGATTAACAAATTTGTAATAAGGATAGCATATTTTTTTACAAAAATGGAAGAAACAAGATTCATCCTTTGCTACAGAAAAAGTTATATTGCTTTAGTTTTGTACCAGTTCATAGATAGGTGGAGAATATTGAACTGAAGTATGGAGAAGAACACACCAAAAAACAGAATGGCCTCCTTTCTGGGGACTAGGAACCTCTGACATTAGAGAAAAATCAGCATTGGGACATTTGCTGTATTGCACAGTATAGAATACTGATAGAACTCCTTCACTCTTCTGAGTGTCACATGCCTGCAAGAAAGAACCCATCCACCAAACACGCTGCTGTGACCTGCAGTCATTATGGTAAATGGCTATACTGATAAATGGTAAGTGGCTATACTATAATGGCTATAGGTGCAGCCATTTGTCAGAATTTGCATCCTCCCTTCCTGTCTGCTCAAAAAGTGATGAGTTCACAGAACAAAACCAAGTTAAATTACTAGCTGAGTAATCACAGGTTTAACTATAGCAGAATTCACTCCACCTTTGCCTATGTGGACTGAGGGGAAGATACAACAGCTTTCTCAATGATCTTTTGATCTTTGCACATCAAAGACCTAGCAAGCAAGAGCCAATTGTCCTGTTCAACTAAAACTCTGCCACCTGACTGGGCTGGAAGAGGAAACAAGTGAAAGCAGTATGTTTCCTTTCCAACAGGTCCCTGGTCTCATGGATCAGCTGATCCTTGGCATCAGAGATGACATTTTGAAACAGATGTTCTCTTTTGTCACTTGCCTTCTGTGCACCTATACATGAAAGAAGTTGTCATACAAATAAGATTGATGTTCACCGTAATGATATAATGAGAATAATAACCGGAACCCTTAAGTCCACATTGCTCTCATGGCACCATGTTCTTTCTAACATTGCCCCTCCTGATCTAAGGTGACAACAACAGACAGTCCGAGACTGGTATAAGATAAACAAGCCATCAACTTCTAAAGATCTTCCAGTACATAAAATAGGTATAAAAATATGTACTGTCTACTTCTCACCAGGCTTAAGTCTAGGAGACCCACTTGGAATAACATACCAGTGTCTTAAGATCTAGATGAAGAATGCCAATTAAGATGGACAACTTTTAATAATCATAACCAAACAGATCACACAGATCCAACAAAACCACTTCCAGGAGGGCAGTTTCCCCCAAAAATATGGAGCCACATGAATCGAATCAGGATAGGACAGAACAGAACTAAGGCAAAGCTCATTAAGTGGAGAATGGCCAAGAGCCGGCAAATGTGACTGTGCTGCTCTGGAACAACTGTAACACACACATTTCAAGAATGTCTCATCAGAAAATTTCAAGGCACCTAGGATGATTTCATGACAGCCATACTGGAAACAGTTAGATGTTGAGCTTCTTTAGATATTGAATTATAACATCCATCCCATTGCAGTGCTATGGTTCCATATTCTGATGATTTTATTATAGTTTCATCTTAATTTAATATTTTATCCATTATATTGTATCATCCACATATCTATATCTCTCTGTTGATGCTTTATTTAAACTAAATTTGTGTATCGGTGATTGCATGACCT